ATTGTAGTAATGTAGAAGGACAACGTGTGTTGTAGAACTCGACGGTTGTATGCGAATTGCTGCATGTCGGACTTGGAGAAGAAAGTTTGGAAGAGTTGGTTGGTTGGAGAGACAAGTGTTATGAGCTCATCTTTTATACCGCATAGTGTATGAGCCAGAGATGTTTGAGAGCATTGCCAACCCGCCTCAAACGGTGCGTTGCGCGAGCGAGTACGTTGTGCCGACGACAAAAATGGGTGATGCTGATGTTTTGGAGGCGGAGCCAGAGTCAGAGAGAACCAGGGGAGGCCGATCAAGCTTCAATAGGCTTGAGGCGACGACAAATTTGGTGCACAGGACGGACTTGTCATGAAACTGGGGATGTGGAGAGCTTCCCATAGTGTCCGGGCCCAAGTCTCGTATGAAGGCTGATCCGACTTGAATGTTCCAGCTTGTCTGTAGATGAGTTCGAGCGAGGAGTGGGGAACAGATGTCGGAGCAGTCCCAATTCGAGTTGTTGCTGGGTGTCGTGGATGATGCCGGGGATGGGAGACAGCACGGCAGGTCAGCGGCCTCAAAAGAAAGGCCGCCTGTCCCGTGTCCGCTTGTGAATCGAGAGGCTTGGGCTCGGGTTGAGCTGCATCAGTCAGCGCCTGCATATTTGCTGCTTGATTCGGTTGCTTGATCTTCGGTGTTCGGAGATGCTGACAGGCTGTATAAAGTTTAGAGCTTTGTTAGATTGCGATTAAGCGCCATAGGCGTCACTCACAACTCCTCCCCACGAGATAGCCCACGGATCAGATACCAAGCATTCACTTCTTGCGGTGGAGGTGGAGGTGGTGGTGGATGCAGGTGAATAACTTTCAAATAAAGCAATAGTGTAGCTTGACGATCCTGTCACCCCGAGCTACCCCAGCGAAAGTAAAGCGTTGACTGCGGGGTTAGTCTTCAGGTTTAGAACTCCTAGCTCAGTTGCGCGGAAGACGCTGCCGATTTCGCCGGACAGACCAAATGGTGATTGACGGAATGCGAGAATAAGTACCGCCAATCCTGTCACGTTGGCGGCCTGATATGGTCGCAAACGTTGGCGCGCGCCTAAACGGGCGCTTAAATGCAATGTCGGTGTATTCCTATTCGACATCCAAAGGAGTCAATACGTGATCGAGGGAGCCAAACTTGATAAAAGGGTGGCCATGGCGGCGTTGGTGAGGTTTGCTTCACTCGCGGTTGGCAGCACCGCCATCCGGATCCGATGGCTTCCTGGCCACTCCCATACGGAACGCATTCGACGCTGAGTGCGTCAGAGTTACAACGAGAAGGGCAAGATACAGATGTTGAAGTCTTTCGTGGCGTTGGCGGAGTTGCAGAGGTCGTGACATGGCTACTCTTGAATGGTAAGTGGAGATAGTCCTTCAACTTTCTGACGCTGATGTAGAAAGCCCAGGTCAGATATTTGCTGCCACAGACCTGGTAGTGAGCGAAACGACAAGCAGAATAGTCTATTGGGCAATGATATGCGGTATTGCTTGTTTGGACGAGGTGGGCGTGTACTGATATATTGTTTCAAGGCGGCGTCGTTCACGGAAGTTTTGTCGTGGATGCATTGATAAGACTTCCGGAGGGCTTCAGAGTCGACCGTGACTTGGTGCTCAACGCACTGCGGCGGTCGGTAGAGAGCGGCAAGGCAATCCAGCTGCAGACAAATGCTTTTCGCGCTCGGCAAGAACATGTCGACGGAGTTCCAACCCAGACATTGCACCCGATGGTAGAGGTGGTATTGCATACTTGCGGAGGCGATGAGAGATTGGCGGTATTCGCACGTTGTGGGGTGGAGGGATGCGGACGGCAACTAGCCGCAGAAGAGGTGTGCGGTACTCATTCTGAAGCTGAACGAGTAGTAGACCAATGAGGGCAAGATATTCCGCTGAGTTATGAAGCCACTGTGAGAGATTGAAGTTCTGCGGCGCACGATTGAAGGGCATTGAGGAGGGAAGACCGTTGTCGCTGGTCGAAGATGAGAATCAGGAACAACCAAAGTCTGTCCCAAAAAGGAAATCACTTTTCTCTTCTGTTCCTCCATGTCGATTCGTGTTCGAAAACCCGTTACCAGCCATGGAGCGCTCACGAACACTTGACCGCCAGACATTGGACCATACCGGCCATTGATTCCGAGCTCGCATTGCGATACGTGGCGCATCGGCGCATTCAGGCTGGGGGCAGCGGAGCGGGAAGCCAGAGTTGGGTGGTGGAAACTGTGGGAGACCGTGGGGTTCACTGGTGCCGCGCATCCACAGAGATCTTGAAAGTCTCGATAGTGCGTTTCTGGCGTCTTCCTCCGACACAATGCTGATTTTGTTAAAGCTAAGGTGCTCGGAGCTCCCACAAAACAAAGTCCACTCGGTGTGAAGCCACACACACATCCTTCGAACGGAAATTGAGTCAAACATCATCTAATTTCGGGCCCGTCAGGTGTGTTTTGAGCAACTTATCCACCTCTTCAATCTCATCTTCTGCAGCTCCTCAAACGAGTTCACGACTACACTATCTATGCCCCTCATTCCAACGCTACGTCACCCACGCAGACCACCTACCACTTGCGCCTTTCGCGCTCGCCCCCAAATGCCGCACGAAAGCGCCGTGGTCAACGGCTTGTGCCTTGAAGTGACGAAAGCGGCGCGACACATATCCCCCCCTAAAGAGCCTCTCGCGTCCCCAACATCCTCTCATACTGTATCGTAGCCCGGAAGTCCGGGGGGATTCGGTCACCCCGTTTCTTGAACGACATTTACCCTCCTCCTCTCCGATTTCATACATCCGGCGCCAGCCCGTTGCTAGTCTTGACACCTCTGTCGCATAAGGCTGAGGTATATGCTAGGACATCCGCGTGGTTCTTTCTATTTCTTTAGTAGGATTGGCGGGCCCATTTTGCTCTTGCTACTCCAATCAGTCTTCGCGTCAGCGCGTCAGCTACCTCGCAACTCGTTCAACGAGTATGTTTGCTTTGCAATTTCGATTCGTCAATTGACAACATTTCGCAGTACCGGTGGACCCTAAGGATGCTATGCCCCCGCGGCGGCGCGGCCCCCGCCTAACATTATCGAGGTTGGAGATGACGGCGAGAAATGGAAAATTTAAAAGGCCAAGCCACGCTGCTTACGTGGCATTTTAGCCCCGGTCTGTTGTGTCGATGTACCCTTGGAACTACCTTGAACCGTCTTATGTCTAAGTCAACGCTACTAAGTATGTCAACGAATTGTTTTCTCAATTGTTCTAGCTAGGGATAGAAAGCTTTGTTCTATCTCACTCGTCACTATTGTGTCAGCCACGCTCAGTGGCGGGGGCATCTCGATCCCGGAATAAACACTCGGTGGCAGCGCATAGTGACGCAGCGATAAAGAAAACCTTGCACGACAATGTTGTTGGCGGGATCGAAGAGGCAGAGTTCCTGCGCGGGCTGGTGCCCAAGATTGGATGTCGTGAATTGTGTCTCGCGGAGACTGAGAGGTTGCGGCGGGTTCTGCGAAAGGGAAACGCGGAGAGCACGAAGGACCATCGTTGCCGAGGGCGAAAAGTCGCGCAGCATATTCCGCGTTGCTCCGGGGATGGTAAAGGAGGCCATAGTCAGGTTGCCTTCGAAATATAACAATAAGAACTTGTTGTCGACCGAAGAAAAACGCTTACTCAAGACCACTCGCCATGTAAGAGTCCGATCTGCATCTTCACGGAACTCCACGATGAAGTCTGCGAAATGTGCGCCGTTTGCGCCAATGAGACGGGAAGTCCCACCGAGAACAAGGAAAGCATTTGCTTGGGGAAATGCATCCAATAGTGGACCAGGGCCCGGCATAGTACCGTCGGCAACGGCTTCAATCGTGGTGATGTAGAAGGACAGAGTGAGGCGGATGAGCTGCCGGTTGTGTTCGTAGATGTTCTGCATGTGGAAAATGCACTCCGAGTTGAGAGTCTGGAGACTCAGTCGACGCCTGTCCATGTTATATACCGCACAGTGAACAAGCAAGAGAAGTGCGAGATGATTGCTGCCCTCCTAGAACGAAGCAACGCACGAGCAGGATGTTGTTCTGAGGACGAAAAGAGGTGATGGCAACATCTTCGAGCGGGAGCTGGGTTCAGAAAGAACTAGGGGAAGCCGATCAGGCCAGAGGAAACACGAATTTCCAGCACTGGAAGGACAGGGTATGACCCCGGACACATGGAGAACTCCCAATGGTCTCCCACAGTTGAACACTGTCCCGACCGAATTGTAGGCTTTGAGATGTCTGTCGCCCGGTTTGGGCGATTGGCGAAGAACAAATATCGAACGAGTCCCCAATATGAGCTGTTGCTGGGGTCGCAGATGATGCCGCGGACAGATGAGGGGCGGGGAATTCTACAGGCCTCGGAGGAAGCTAATCGGCGAGGCTGAATGCAGGCGATAACTTTGACGTAGAGGCTGAAGCTCAATCGGCGCCACATCAGCCCAGCGCCGCACGAAGAATGTTACATGTAGCGCAGTTGCTGCTTGATTCGGTTGCTCCATCTACGGTGTTCGGCGATTTTGACATGATGTATCAGCGTCAGAGCCTCGTTAGATTGGGATTAGACGCCATGGGCGTCAACGAAGAGCCCGCGTTGAAATACAAAGCATATCCAGAGAGGCACATGTAACGCCGAAAGGCGACGCGAAGCCCCTTGAGCCACATCATCTTGATTCTTCCTGAACATGGATGGTGACGGAGTCCCTACTGCTTGCATGTGCAGATAGGTGTGAATTGGAGCAGGTTAGGGCATGTGATGATTGACGGGGCAAATGAAGTTATCGATCCTGATATGGTCACAAACTTTGACGCGCGCCTAAATGAGCGCTTGAATGACGAATCGAAGGACTCTAATTCGATGGCCAAAGGTAAGAAGACGTGATTGAGAGATCTGCGATTGATAAAAGGGTGGCCATAGCGGTCTTGGTGGGCTTTTTAACTCACTCGCATCGCAGCACCATTGACAGTCTCTGAGTCCCGGTGTCTATGACTTCACGCCGTTCGAGCGAGGGTTTGCGGGACCTGCCGTCACGGGAAGAAGATATGGCCGTTGAGGTATTTCGTGGTGTCGGGGCGGTTTCGGAGGTAGTAACATGGTTGCTCATGAATGGTTAGTCGTGATATGACTTGCAAGACCGACACTAACTTGGAAAGCCTAGGCCAGATATTTGCGGAGACGGATCTTGTCGTCGGCGAGACGGCCAGTCGATTTGTCTATTGGGCCATGATATGCGGTATGTGTTGTCGCTGCAAGTTTAATAAGACATCGCGTCTTGAAGAGACCTATATGCTGACAAGAATTTTCAAGGTGGCGTCGTCCATGGGAGTTTTGTTGTGGACGCATTGGCAAAACTTCCGGAAGGCTTTATGGTGAATCGCAGCTTGGTGCTTAGCGCATTGATACAGTCCGTCAAGGCGGGGAAGGCAATCCAGCTTCAAACAAATGCTTTTCGCACTCGCCAAGAGGTTGTCGGCGGGGTTCCGACCCAGACTTTGCATCCAGTGGTAGAAGTCATATTGCAAACTTGTGGAGGAGGAGGTGAGGCATTGGTGGTATTTGCGCGATGTGGGATTGAGGGGTGCGGACGGCAGCTGGCTGCAGAACAGGTGTGCAATAGTCACGACTCTGAAGCTGAGACAGTAGGGCAACGAGAGCGAGATGTGTTGTCATAGTTTGAAGGCATTTGCACAAATTGAAGGGTGGCTTGTGTTCCCCGTAGCGTATGTCGAGGGAGAAGACCGTTGTCGATACTTGCCGCTGGTCGAAGATAAGAATCACCAAAGCTTGGCCTAAAAAGGAAATCGCCTTTTTCTTCTCTTCCTCCATGTCGAGAAAACTTCTACCAGCCATAGAAGGCTCTTTCATTCTCGACAACAAGACTTCGCGGCGTTCCGGAAGCCGATTTCGAGCTCCAAACGTGATGGCGTGGTCTGCTTGCTGGCGATGACGACGGGCGTTGAGGGGTAAAAGGCAAAAGGAAGAGCTGGGTGGTGGACTCCTAGTCTGTGAGCGGGCGCTCCGTTGGTCATTGGCGTGTCATCCAAACTCATAGGCCGCTTCCATGGTGCGTGTTTGGCCCCTTGTTTCTCCTGCATACTTCTCATGTAGCCTAGGTTCCGCTCACCGGTCGCCTATACTTTCTCTGTATCTTCTTTGCACCACACGGCGCGCACACCTCCTGCACACCACTTACAACTTATGTCTCTACGACAGACTATGCGCCCCCAGCGCCACGACTAACACGTTTTTTTTCGACGAATATGGTCATAACACCCCAATACCGCCTGTACCGTTCCCCGCCGCTACCGTTAGATTCCTCATGCCGTTCCGCCTGCGACCTTTCCCCTTCCTCCTCTCCCGCTACCCTGGTTTTCCGCTTAAAGCCTGTCGACCGCTTTGATACTTCTGTAACTTCGAAACAACATATATACGCACACATTGATGTCGCTCCCTCGCTATTCCGCGGCCGTATGTGGGGTTGTCGAGTGCAATTCGCTCCTTCTCGCTTACACTATCACTTTCACCACCTATTTCTTTTCCGCACCTCTCGACACCTTCTTCTGCTTTCTTCTTGTGCTTTACACAGACTTCGCTTTACGGTAGTGCCTTCGCAAGCTGCACATTCCTCTTTGGTATCTCCAAATGAAGTTCTACTTCCCGCTATATCTCGCGTCCCGCATCCCACTTTCCCAACTCGTCTGTCAACAAATGTGCAACTGAGTCTTCTCTACCGACATTTGAGACTTGTACCTTTAGCATGTGCTCCAGCACGATGGAATAGCTTCGCACGACGCAGAGCTCGTCGGGCTATCCAGATCCTAATATTTTTGGTCATCCAGCTGGGCCTGCACTGGCAGCTGGCAGGCCACTCATCAAAAAACTTGATTTCCGCGCTACTGGGGTTGTTCGTGCAAACAGTTGCGCTTCGACCGTGGCGCCAGTGTGTATTCTTGTGCAACTCAGGCTGAGAGTTTGCGTCGCTCATGATCATGGGATCAAAAACAGTGGTTACGATTAGGGTCAAGTCGATTTCGGTCACGGCCCGTCTCGGACGGCGCCGTGCCGTGCCCGCCCGCTTCCGCGCCGGGGGCCGCCAGGGTCAAGGCTCATGGTTATCACAGACAGCAGCCCGGGCACAACGATCCCGGACATGTCGAAACTTGATGCTGAACGCCAATTTGCAGCCTGGCACAACCCCTCATAAAAATGGTGGCTTCACTATGCTATATGATGGCCATTGACCGCGTCGAACGGTGCCGTGGCCGCCTCTTCACTTTGCAGACCGAGTGGTTGATTGGAGTTGTGGTACCGCCAGTCTCTACGACGCTCAAATCTGCTGATCTACGCCAGACAAAAAGACAACGCCCTCTATCAATATTAATTGAAATCCCACTGGCACGTTTCCGCACGCGTCGAGCACAAACTCGACTTGTGTGATATCCCAATTATGGAGCCTGCGCTCGTGCTACTGCACGATCTATTCCACCGAAATTAAGCCCCAAGACTCTCCGGCATTCGTCCGTTTTCTAAGCGGCGGATAATATTATCGGAAGAGGTGTAGAATACTCACAAATAAAGCCCCATCATCATCCAGGCGCCATCAAAAGCCCAACCCGCGCAACCGCCGAATAGCTGCATCTGTGCGCGGCGCGTGCGCTGCGCAGCCGAGCCCACGGCGCGCGGGGCGACGGGAAGCGCACGTGGCACGGGGGACTCGGATGCGCGGCGCTCGTCGGCCGAGGTGCGGAGGAGCAGGAACGACGCGTCGGCGAAGTGCTCCGAGGCGGCGTGCAGGTTCGAAGCGCGCCGGGTCGAGGCCGGGCGCGCTTCGCGATGTCGTACAGTAACACGGAGACCGAGGACGTCCGGCGGGAGGCACGTGCGCGGCGGGCCGGCCCGGCACCGGAGCTGGCGTCGGCGCGTGGGAGGACGAGGTCGGTGCGCGTATTCCATGTCCTCTAAATGGAGCGAAAGGACAAGCGGCGCCACTTACGCTACCAGTCAGGAGCCATCGCTCATGCACTGGCAGGCATGTATTGTGCCGATGCTGATTCGAGCGGTCCCCCGCGCAGCGCGTTCGACGGCGTCGCGCGCGTAGTGGTTGCGAATCGGGAGAGACAGAGGGAATTCTTTTTGTCAGTCCCGGTATCCGCATCGATTCAGTCGCATGGGGCAGGCCGGTGCGGGGATCCGAGGGAGCGGGATAGCAGCAGTGACGGGAGACGCCAAGAGAGGCTGCTTACGTGGCGCCCGGGCCTCGGCTCTGCGGTGTCACGATGTGACGCGGCTTCTTCCGCTCTCTCACGTCGCTTTGGAGGAGGCAACTGGGCGGGCTTGCGGCACAGGCGGTCCTGAGGCGGAGTCCGGTGGGCGAATCATACGTGCTCGTGGACCATCCTCATGGTGTGTGTGGGCCTCTTGGGACCGCTTAATACTGATTTCCTTCATAGCCGGCGCGGCCTGTGGCCACTGGTTCATGATTCTTAGGCTGCGAGCAGAATCAGCGGATGTATGGGGCTCGCCGACGTTTTTCAACTGGATTATGGCCAGTTGGTAATGTGGCTTACCCTTGGTCCTCATTCATTAGCACTCCTCAAAGGCTCAGACGGCCACTTCTGCCTAGTCTGAAACTTCTTTCAAGCCCGACTCATATATGACTCGAAACTCCAGACGTCTAGACTCGCTGTTCTCCTATAGCACCCCCGTCATCCTCCCCCGCGGCTTCAGGACGGGTATACGGGGCTCAGCGTACAGATACACGCTTTCAAGACTCAACATCGACGAAATAGCTTTTGCTGGGAAGGTTTTGAAGCGGGACTCGGAGACCGTGGGCGTTAAAGGTGCGTCTCATGTCGCGCCTGGCGCTCATGCGTTCATCGCTGTTCCGCAGTATCACCAGATGCCGCCTTGATTACTCTCCGTGACACTGTCTTGCAGGCCGCCAATGACGTTTGAGGCTCGTCGGACTGGAACTACCCAGTATTGATCATGGCTGAACGGAGATCGAGCTGGCTTGTCTGGGATGCTCTGCGATAGTCAGCACTGCCTCCCGCCCGTGTGTCCAAGATTCATAAGCACGACGCAAAACAGTCAACACCAAGTCAGCGCCCACACCCGGAGTTGAACCGGCACACCGTGTCGCCGGCGTGCCCTGCGTCATCGCGGCTGTACGATCTGTGGGCCTGTGAGGACAACACAACGTACAAGTTACAAGTTAAACGGAACGACACTACAAAAAATGTTCTCAGGTTAGAGGCTGTTAAACGCACCAACGCCGCGGCTGCGATCCGGCTTTTCTCGGATCCTTGGCGGGGGATGCCTGTGCTGCCGCATGATGCATGGGCTTCCCGCGGCTCATCGGGCCATCGATAGTGTCCGGCCCCGGGATCTGGCGGTGCCAGCGTTGCTTCGTTATCCCGACGGACCGTCCGGGTGTGACGGGGCGCTTACCAAGCGAGTCCCGGCACACGGGGAGACCGAGGGCGGAAGGCCGGCGAGGTCGGGGATGCGATAGAACTGGCGTAAGCTGTAGATTTGACCTCGGAAAAGACTAACTAATACAGAAAAACAGCTCCACCTATATAAGTATTTACAGGACTGATGTCATAGTGGAGAGTATGATAAAAGAATGAGTTCATTGTGGAGTAATGGCACGCTCAAGCGCAACTCCGGCGGCATGCACAATCTTATCTTATCTCGGATCGCGTGATCCGCGATCCGGGGCCTTACATACGCCCTCCATATCTTTGCTTGGAAAGATATCCACGTGGTTTCCACTCGGAAACATTATCAGCACCATCCAGCACTGAATACACGGCAGACGACGCGTCGCCGATCGCTGACTCATACCACGTGATGAGATCAAACGCGTCATCGCGTAAGCGCTTCTTGTCCAGAACCACCACGACATCCGATGCGGAGTCTACTATGGTGAGTGAATTCGCGCTCGGGACGACCGCGAACCGACTCAGAACAGTTTCGCCCTCCGAATGGAGTCCAAAATGGTCTACTAGGACCGTCTGCACCGTGCGGACAAGCGCGTCATCGAGCGATTCAAAGAAGCGCGTGCGGCGGCGCAAATTCTTGGTGCCAAAGCCCAATGAAGCGGCTCTGTGGCGAGCGTACCACGCGGCGATGCGGAAGCGAGAGTCGGCCAGCTGCCGGGACTCAAGCAACACCTCAACGCCGTACCTCTCATCGCGCATGACAAGCTGCGACTCCGAGAGCCGAGCGAGCGCGAATCGGCTCGTTTGCTGGACGGCTCCTTCATCTCCTGGGTATGGCTGGGCATTCTGCAACGACAGCTCTGCGTTGAGGAGGAGGAAATTGCCAATGGGGTGCTCAGAGGCAGCGTCACCAGGTGCGTTGTCCACAAGCTCTGAAGATCCAGCTGAAAAATCATCACTCAGACTTTCAGTGGACTCTCCCTCGCCCTCCTGGACAACGACACCGTCGCTGAACAACTCCGATTCGACTTCATCGGCCCACGACAAGCCCACGGCGCCAACCGCCAACGTCTCCAGCACCTCTGTGCTCTCATACAGCGCAGACTGGCGCTCCGAGAAGTCCACACCGTGAGCGCCAAAGCCCGGCGGCTTTCCCTTCACGGCGGACTTCATGGTGGACGTTGTGGGGCAGTCTCGGGCCAGATGCCCGATTTCTCCACAGGTAA